CAACCAAACATGTTACACCTTAGAAATACTTCAAAAACTCTTTTCACTTTCCAGAGATTGAAGGTACAAGACAAATTTGCTTGGACGGGAACAAGAAGTAAAAAAAAAAAAAATAAATAAATAAATAAAAATTGTGTTTTTTCAATGAAATAATTTTTAAAAAAATCATATTAAATATCTTATACATTTTTTTGGGTGAAAAAATATCTCATACTATCTCGTAAAGAGACACGATTATAAAAAGATATATATAGGGTCTGTTCGATAGTGATTATGAGAATAATTTTTTGACCGTTAGAGATAAAAGTGGATTCCACCTGTGAGAGAAGAAGTAAAAAATGACAAATGACTCAGGAAAGTAACAGTTGATCTGTTGGGTGAAAAATCAGAACCAAATGGGGGCATAGTCTCTAGTAAAATAACTAATATTAATAAATATTATTTCAAATAGTCGAGATAGAAGTAACCACAACTTGATGAACTAAATTTAAATTTTATTCAACGTAGATTTACATCTAATTATTTTTATTCAATTTTGGCTCAACGACAATATTTTCTACTTCATATATAACATTACGCTATGAAAATATATTGAATTTTTACTCTTTCTTATCTTTTTACAAAATACAAATAAAACGAATTGCATATATATTGACTGTAATGATTTATCTCCTAAGTACTGGTATTTAACTTATAATAAATACTAAGCACTTGGGTAATATGATATACTACAATGTGTTGAGAGATAATATTGGTTGGTTGCAAAACTAATAATAAAAAAGATTGAACCCCAACATTGAGGGCCTCTACCGCCCCATTCCTGAAGCATTGTGAGGGAGGTAAATCGTGGAATGTGCCCAAATAGGTCAGGGAATAAGAGCTTGCCCGTACAATTGTGCCCACAAAGAATCTAATTCCATATTTCAGGAATCGAACCCTCACATTGTGGCTGCTAGCAAGGCTGAAACTACCTCACTCTATCCTTTACACCATTGAGTTATGTCCCGAGGGACAACTAATTATATTACCTATTGTAGTGTGCTACTTCATTTGATGCTTAGCTATTGTAATGTGTCAAATTCCTTGGTGTTTAGGAGGTCAATTCTGTATTATCCATAATTTTCACTGTAGATTTTGTATCCCCATTATTTATCAAAAATATTTACATTTATCTTCTCTTGTTAGAGTCTTCTCGTTAAAAAAAAAAAGAGAGAGAGAGACCAAAAATTTGTACCAATAATTGAAAATTTGTTAAATTACAAAATGTTATAAAATTATAAAGGTAATTAGCATAAAATATCTTCATCCTTTAATGTCTATACCTTTCATTTTTTTAACATTTTCACCCATATTTTTACATTTTTATTGTTGAAAAAGGTCATTTCCATCCAATTTTTTAATTTAAAAATGTAAAATAACAAATATATCCTCCTATTTAAATAAAACCAAAAACAAAAAAGTTAAAGAACAAATTGTAATTATACTCCCAAACTTTTAAAAAAACTACAAATGAGTTCAAATAAATTATTAAAGGGATAATTAGTACAAAACGTCCGTAACTTTCCATATTATTGTGCAAAACGTCCATACCTTTTATCTTTTGACATTTTTATTCTTATTTTCATATTACATTACGAAAATTATTATTTCATCCATTTTCTCAATTAAAAGCTGCAAAATGACAAATATATCTTCCTATTTAAATAAAATAAAAAAAATAAAGAACGAATTTTAACTATACTCCAAAATTTTTTATAATGTACAAATAAATTTAAATAAATGATTAAAAAAAGAAAATTCATTATTTCTATTTTATTTAAATAGGAGGGTATATTCACCGTATTGTAGTTTTTAATTGAAAAAATGAATTAAAATGATGATTTTTTGCAATAAAATGCGAAAATAAGGATGAAAATGTCAAAAATGAAAGATAGAGACATTTTGCAACAATGATATTGAAAGATTGTGCTTATTACACTTTTAATAAGTTATTTGGATTCACTTGTGGTTTTTTAAAAAGTCTGAGAGTATAATTGTAATTTGTTCTTTAATTTTTTTCTTGTTTTATATAAATATGAGAATATATCTGTCATTTTATATTTGTTTAATTGAGAAATTGGAGTGCAATGAAATGTGAAGTATGGGTGAAAATGTCAAAAATGAAAAATAGAAACGTTTTGCACAATAATATTAAAAGATAAGGACGTTTTGTGTTAATTACCCAAAATTATAAGCTCGACTTTCAAAAAAAAATAAAAATTATAAGCTGCAAAATAATAAAAAATAGTTTACTTGATTTTAATTTGTTCATTGAACATGACCTATCTATCCCAATTAATAATTATTTATCCATTTAATAATTTTCGATAAAAATCAAATGTAGTTTTTGCCATAGTTTTCAACACTTGAAAGAAAACGGAGATAATAAATTCTGTAAACATTCTTCACCATCGTTTAAAGAAAAAAATTAATAAAACATCAGGAGCTTATAGTAATTAAATTTTAAAGAATAATGAAATAGTTAAACTGAAAAATAGTTAAATTATAGAATGAGGTAACCAAAAAAAAAAAAAAAAGAAAAGATAAAAAAAAGAGAATGGGGAGTTGAATGGGAATGAAAAATAAATAAATCAGGGCCATTATAGTCTTAACGAGAACAATAAATTGCCATTCAAAGAATCTGAAACTGAAAAGTTCGTGAGCAAATTTCTCTGCCATAACTTACAGCTTCTGTTTCTTTTGATTTCTCCAGTAGAAAAGATAACAAATTCAAAGGAAAAGCGAAAAAAATGGCTACTATTAGTTTAGAAATAAATAATCTTTTGAAAATGCTCTAGTATGGAGAATATCAAATAAGTTCAAAGAAGGTAATATATTGTGTAACAAATTTGTTAAATGTCATCTTCAATATTTTCGTACCAAATGCTAATTCAAATGTTTTGAAAATCGTAAACGATCATAGATCTCTTTCCAATAAGGCTATAGCTCATAATAGAAAAGAGTGTTATAAAGATGTAAAGAAAAGTCTCTATGTGAATCTATGTCAAACATTTAATGTATCAAATAAAAAATATTAGACTCATTTATGAAGTTATAACATGTATTTATTTAACATGATCTTATGATTATTTAATCATAATTGAGGAGGATTGCACCATGAAATTTCTTTTGGGAAAATGATGTTGAATAGCGAGAACATTACATGACATTGGGTAGTGCCTATATTTCATCTTTGTTCGATTATATTAAAAATAAGATTTTTAATAGACTTCAAAAAAAATTGATGAAATAAATGTTTAAAAGTTGATAAAATTTGTAAATCTTATGAAATGTGTAATTAAAATTAATTGTTAACTTAGATTTAATTTTTTATTTTATTTTATTATTATTATTTTTACTATAGCAAACAAGGACTCCGTTCCACTTTGGTCTTCAAGTCACTTTGGACTCCATCTGACTTTGGTCTTCAAGGACCTCAGTTTCAGTAAACTTCCTTCCGCAGAACGTTATCCAACTTTTTGCCAAAACATGTGGAGATAAAAGAAGGAAAATATAGTTCTTGGAAAATCCCAACTCCCAAATTTTTCTTATATTTTTTTAATTTATAAGAAATAGTTTTATTAGTTGGTGTATAAGATAAAAACATGCCATTTTAGTAACATCATACTAAGCCCCTGTTTGATAGAAATTTTTTTTTTTTCAAATAGTTATTTTTTTTCTTAAGAATATGGTCAAAAAGTATGAAAAAATTTTGGGTTTATGTAAAGAATATTTTATTGTGAGAATATCTAGTTAAAAATAAGTATTAGAAAAAAAGTTTTAAAAAAATAGTCTCTATCTCACCACTATTGAGTTGATCAACTTCCTGATTTAATCCAGTTTTGCAATTACAATCATACTATATGTACATCAAGTTTGACATCATATAAGTTGGCAATTTTTTAACGACACTTTTGTCAATCAATGACCAAATTTTCTACACGTAGAAGCATAATTCTCATTTAGATATTTTTTTCTTATTTATAGGTAAAATAGGAGCCAAATTTACTTTTATTATTTTAAAAACATGTTTGTCTATGATATTTTTTTCTTATTTAGAGGTAAAATGATATTACTTACTTAAAGCCTACACAATTCTAGCATGGCAAACTGATGATGAAGTTAGGCTATGTTTCCATGGAAAATGGAAAAGAATTTCCATCTTCCACTATTTTTTATGTTTGATAGGAAAAAGTTCTAGGGAATTGGTTTTCTACTTTTCCTTCACACGGTCACATTTTCTCACTTTTCATTGAATTGGTTTTACCACCTATGTGGTTGTGCTTTGAGTTCCAACTTCTTTCTTTTTTTTTTTTTTGGCAATTGAAACAAATTCTAGGAATAATTGTAAAAGATGATATCCCTTAAATTGAAAATTTTCATATAAAATAAAGTCAAACGAACACCAAATTATAGATGATTTTTGGATTTTTTTTTTTTCCTTTTTTTTTTTTTTTGGCAATGGAAACAAATTCTAGGAACAATTGTAGAAGTGAATATCCCTTAAGTTGACAATTTTCATGTAAAGCAAAATCAAACGAATACCAAAAAATACTTTTATTTCAACATTTTTCAGGTGGAAAATTATACCAAACAAACACAATAATTTACAATTTCTAGAAAAATAATTTCTAAGCAATTCAGTCCTCCGGATTCATTTTCTTTCCATCCAAATTCCATCTTTACAATCAAAAGGAGCCTTTATGGAACTCGCTAACTATCAGCCTCAATTTCCCACCAAATAGGGGCATAATTTCTTGGCATAACATTATTTATTGATGAAATATTTTTGGTTAAGATAAAAACACGTAATTTTAGTAACATCAGACTAATTGTCTCAATCTTACCACTACTGACTCGATCAACTCACCAAGTCAACCCAGGTTTGCAATTTTTGGTATTTCTGCTGGATGCAGCTTATGATTGCTGAACTTGAAAACAAATCAAATTTACTATTCTGATTTATAAATATTTTTGAATATGATATTTTTTCTTTTTCTTACTTAGAGGTGAACTCTCTCTCACTCTCTCTTCCGTCAATTCTATCAAATCTAGCACAGCAAAGTGATAATAAAGTGAGTGGAACTCACTAATTATAGGGTCAATCATGAGATCCGATTTTCTTAGCATCCTCTGCAGCAGAGCAGCAACAGGAGACATCTTCTCCAACAGCAAGAACGGCGAATTTCAGGTGGTTTTGGAACAGGAGCACCTGGAATTGGACTATGGTGAACACGCGGTACAAAATGGGAAATCGTATGCACTTTGTTTTTCTGTACTGTTGCTGGAGCTGCATGAACCATATATACTACCGAATTAGTTTCCATTAATGTACAAATTTCGAGATGCTCCAAAGCAAAACTTACTCATGTCGTTGGAGACGATAGCAGTCACCATGGAGGAAACATCGTATATTATGAACAAAGACAGGAGAAGGTAGACAATTGCCTTCTTGGGAACCATCATGGTGTCATAAAGAAATATTTTTACTTAGTTTTGCTGTATTGTAGACACTGATTTAAGTATAAATGAGTCGAAGATTAGGCCTCGTTTTATAGGAGAGGATAAGGAAAAGAAATGGAAGTTTCCCTTTTTGATCCATCCCACCGTAGAAAAGAAACCAATCAAATAGAAGGTAGTTTCCTAGTAACCTCATATGGAATAAAAATGTAGCAACAGTGAATGTTGTGTTACTGTCTCATTTCTCGGATTCTTCCTCAATAATTTGTCACAAAATTATTAATCCAAGTAAAGTTCTAAGAGGTAGAGAGCTAGAATTTGGATAATGTTTCTAATAATTCATTATTTCTGTTGACCTCATTTCCGATTGGGGGTCACGTGGACAACAGATACCAGATCCACCCGCATATACGTAAGCTTGATCCAATACGCTAAGACACGCAAGCGGTCTAGGGAGATCCAAGTAAAGGCATGGGAGCGGCTCAAAAGCGTGGGATGACAACGTTTGAAATCCAGCAAGACCTTAGCAGAACGGTTGTACAATAATTACCTATTTTAGTTGATGAATACTTATGTAAACTCAATTGTGTAACAAGAGAATAAGTGGAGCAAGTTCTTTAGTATTTGTTTGTGTATTCAATTTTGTATTCAAAATTGCATTAGACTTACAATGGTAACATGGGGGAATATGTATAGGAGTACAAGGTAATTGTGGCCCTCGGATGGGAGTACACGTGGTCTTGTCTTCCTAATCCATACATCTAATCCTAGACATCTCTTTGACTTGCTAGCCTACTTTACATTTATTAAGTGGTAGAACCGCCACTTTGTTTGACAAGACTTGACACTTCGTTAGCAGAGGAAATCCCATCTGTGAAAATGTTTCTCTAATGCTATCAGTGTTGGGAATCTTATACATGCACAGCGGAAAATTAAAATTATTTCGATTCTCACCGAGGATTCCTTTGTGTTTAGATAGAAATCGTGACAAAAATTGTACCTTTAAAGAATTCTGTAAACCTTTTGCTTTTCTTTTCGTTCCAGCAATCTTGATTTGCCACCCACAGCTGTCCAATTGTCCAACCTCCAACAGTGATCCACACAGAGAATAAGATTGCATCTACCAGGATTTTCTCCTCTTGTGCTAGCAAAAATGATTATGAAAAACATGTGAATTGAAAACTCTAGCCATGTATTTATATAAGCCCAATCGGGCCTGGCCCGGTCTGGTCCAATATTTAATTAATCCATTTAATTAAATCCGGTCCATGAATTAATTAATCCAATTAATTAATTCGGGCCTATAAATAACCAACCCAATTAATTAATTCATCCAACGATTGTTAAATTAATTAATTGACAAATTGCAATCTTCCAATTTTCTTTTGTGTGCGACCTATCAGGTTCCCGATTACGATGCCTAACGACGTGAAATATTATTTTGATCTGATCAAAATTGATAAATTAAAACACCCTTTTAATTTATCGTCAATTCACACTCGCCGTCCTAAATTGACATCTAGCAATATGTCAGGGCAATACATGTGACGGGAAATGTCACGTGGTATGACAAAACCAAACTCGTTCGTTTACCGTAAAACTATAATTCCTTCGTCAATATGATCCGATCAATTACGAGATATGGAAGTGTGTCAATCTCGATTATCAATCATATCTTTCACTCCACTATTAAGTCAATATAAGTCGAAAACTCCTTTTCGACTTATGAGTATACCTTGGCCAAGAATTTCGTTATCAACTTAATTGAATGAAATGCAGATCATAATCTTCTACTATCTAAGAGTGACGAATCATTTATTGGTCAATCACAACCTTCATACGATTCTTGATGTACCCGAACAATGTCGTATTAGCGGCCCTTTGCAGAGCAACATCTAACACCGTCAAAGCATGACTGTCCTCATATAAGGTACCATGACGACTTTAAGTCTAAGGACCAATTCCACTACCGAACGTTAGAGATTAACCACTGACACTCAGATAGTTATCCATGTAGAATCTCTCGACGGGTCTCCAATGTTTTGTTCTATAACAAAACATTCACATGTCATTTAAGTGTCACCACACTTTAGCTTGTGAGATTAGCTACTTACTTCATAAGTAAGAAATGCCACACGTGATGGTCTATCCATAATAACGATATCCATATCTCGTTATTACTTATGACCACGGACGATTTAAGATTCAATCAGATGTAATTTATATCTCACAATCACAACTCCTTGTGATTAACAAATTACGAAGATTTGAATCTACAAACTCTATTATTTATTTAATTGTCTATTAATTAAATAATAGATCTGCCATTAAATTGCATTAATTATATATACAAGTATTTTTGTCCAAAGTTGATTGGACCTAGGGTATAATACTTACAAACTTCTACTTGCACTAGATCCAATCACTTATGTATCTAATATCATAAGTCTACATGACGATCATGTTTATACTACGACAACTTTTTGTCAGTGGATCTACAATATTGTTAAATGTGAGAATTTATTCTTCTCTTTACATCATTTCTATGTATTGTCTCTCTGATAAGATTATACTGCCTTAATACATGTTTGGATCATTGATAAGACCTTAGTTCATTTGCTTTCGCAATAGCTCTATTGTTATTACAATATAATGGCATGTGATCAACAATATTAGGAACTACTCCAAGTTCATTTATGAACATCATGATCCAGATTGCAACTCTTTGTTACTTCTGAAGTAATCATGTATTAGGTTTCTACTATTGAATCAACAGTTGCTTCACATTCGGAACCTTTCCAATACACCGTTTAAGAGTAAACCAGTTTTTCCATATGAAATCTTGAGAATCTATGTAAGTTGGGATGAGTTAAGCAATCTTTTAGATCTATCTTTATAGATCAAGTTGCTTATCCCATATCGTTCATGAATAAATCCTTTAACAACAATTATTTCAACGATTGAAACACAGGGATGTCATTTTCTATGATATTAGGAATACGACAATGCTCCCACTATCTTCTTGTCAACACACAATTCGTCTTCAAATTTGATAAAATCAAACACTTCGAATTTTCCATCAAATCGAAGATTTAGGCTCCATAGAGACTTATCATGATCTTTAGTTACGATATGCAACTGTTGCAAATAAAATTTGAATGGACTTCAGCAAGGCCATAGGAGAAAGGTTTTACCAAGGTCAACACTTAACCTTTGCTTCTAGCCTTGCTTTGTATATATGGATATTCACATCCACATCGACCCTTCCCTTGTAAACTATTTACAAAACCTTATGGGTTTTATTCCAAACAGGAGGCTCGACCAAGGTCGAAACCTTGTTCACTTCGTCGAGTTCATCTTGAGTATCATGGCCTCTTGCTGTCTCTTTTAAGTCAACACTTGACTTTATTTTGTTGCAACTAGCAGGTTCATTATCGTAAATCACTAATACCTGATTAATGATCATGGATTCGCACCTTCTTGAAGGTCCAATGATCCTACTAGATTCACATAGAGCTGTCTTGTCCTCAGGAATCTTTACTTCCTGATCCAAAGTATGTCCCATATCAGATATGGAATCAAACTCGGGTTTATCTACATGGTTAATTATATCTGTGGACTTTTGAACTCTTTCAGATTCTATTTTACTCCCACTGTTCTCTCCTAGAGTAAACATTTTCTCTAAGAAGACGATATGTCGTGAGACGAAGACTTTCTTTATGATAATAGAATTAATATTCAAATGTTTGCTTTGAATATCCCCACAAATACGTATTTATCAGATTTAGTGTTAAACTTATCCGATTCAAGGCACTTCAAATAACCATCATGGTCCCAAACTTTCATATAAGATAAATTGGGACTATTGTCTTTCCATAACTCGTTTGGAGTTTTGTTAACCAATTTAGATGGGACATGATTTAGTGTGTTGCACATTGCAATCAATGCATGACCCAAAACAATTTTGGAAGATTTGTATGGCTTGTTATTAATCACATTATATTTAATAATTAACGATTCCTCCTTTTAGATACACCACTATGCTGCAGTGTATATGGAGAAGTCCACTGCAAGAAAATCTCTATCTCTCTTAGATAAACTAAATTTTATCTTTAAAATACTCTCACTTGATCGAATCTTAATGTGAGGGTATCTTTACCTATTTATTTCTCTCCTTCTAATTTGAATCCCTTGAACTCAAGAGTTTCATGTTTGAGTTTTCATCAAGTATCCATGATCCATATGTCTCTTTAGCTCCCGTCCCATATGTGAACATCTTCTCAACAAAGTGAGTTCATATTTTATGCTCTTTTGAATTTTATTCAACCTAGGTAATGTTTTGTTTTTCGGTATAGCTTGTGGGAATCTGTTCTCTTCTTTGACTGGGTTTCAAGTGCTGTGTCTTCTCTTTCGGTAAACTTCTTGAAAGTCATCTAACTCTGAGCACAGAGAGGTAAACTTAGGGAAACAAGAGAAAATTATTTTTGCAGATTTATAATTTTTGAAACGGAATAGGACGTGCTGGTTTTTATTTCAATACTTTGTTTGAAGTTTTAATGCATTGGAATTTTTCAAATTATCTTTTGGGGGTTTGGTTAAAGGGGGGGATTGACAGTGACCTTGCGATTTGCTTACTCTGTATTTAGCTTAGTCTAATTTGAAATGTTTAGAAATTGAGTCGTTCATTACTATATTTATGCTTGAAAGCCTCTATTTGAAAATTGCACTTCTTTTGCTCACTATTTATCCTTTTTCCCTTAAATGGAATACCCCAAATCAAAAAACTCCAAAGCCTAAAAAACCCAGAAGAATTATTCTAAAAGTCAGGAATTATTTCCATCTCGGATCAATCTGCAAATTTGATTTTATTTCGAAAAGTTGTTAATTGAAAAAGAATCGAAATTGGACTTGCAAAATTTGACTCCTTGTGTTCACGGAGCATTAACGCATGGAACATTTGTTTCGTGCATACACGGAGCAACTGCTTCTTGCGCACATAGAGCTGTTAGCATGGAGCAGTTGCTCCGTAAGGGGAGCTGTTGCTCCGCTCACGGAGTAGCTGCTACTCCGTGTGTTACACAGAACAGCAGCTGCTACTCCATTTGTTTACGGTGCAGCAACTGCTCCGTTTGTTTAGTTTATTATTATTATTATTATTATTTTATTGTTATCCTTTTTAGAATATATATAAGTATAATCCATCTTTTATTATTTCTGCATCTTTAATAAATTAATATCTTGAAATTCCCTACAATATATATATATATATAACAAAAATCTACATTTACTTACTTTTTCTTATAATGAAAGACGAGGGTTT